ATTTGCCATATCCATGTACAGGTAATCATGGGGTGGTGGCGTCCCACGGAAGCGGAAAGGTGATTCTCGACGACTCCTTGTTCTTGACCTGCCCGGTACGCGAACCCTGTCGAATTTATTTTTATTCCCGTAGCTATGCAGAAGACGTTACTGTAACGTCTGGCACTAGCCAGGGTCCACACAGCTTTAATTTGGTATTTGTGTGTTTGTGTCACGCCTGGCGCTATCCCGTATCTGTCCCGCACCTACCGTACAGTACCATCAAACACAGTGGGCCACATATATACAGCTGGCCGCAATATTCAAATAGGGCTTTCAAACGCAAGATCATAACGTGAAGCAACTTGGAAGAATGAGTATGAATGCGAAGTGTATGGGGAATGCATGTAGGACGATAGTGCGGGTTCGAATCCCAGGTTATGCCTAAAAAATAGGAGAATTGAAAAATTTATAACATCCTTATGCTTTTTTGCCTAGGTCATCAAGGCGGTAGACGGTGTCGTATTATCCTCGACCGTGCCGGTTCCGTACCTGTCCCGTACCATCAAAGAAAAAGGAGAAATTTATAAGAATTTATAACATCTCTATGCTTTCTTTCTCTAGGTCATCAAGGCAAAAAAAGCATAGCGTAGGGCCCTGAGCTTCCAAGCTCTCTCGTTTATTTATGTACAGGTAATAGGATTTGGATAAAGACAAAAAAAACTGAGCTGAGGTGCTAAACTCGTGAGAATGCTAATGAAATGTTTAGCACACTGAGAGGGCACAGTGGGGCTATAGATAGACTGAGCAGTGTGGGCAGGTGCATATAAATACTGAAGAGACAACTGGAGGTAGGATGTAGTTTTGATGGTGCTCTTGCCCAGCATCCTGTAGAAAATGGCGCTGTTTAGTTGTTTTGCAACCATTGGTTTCATGGCCTTGGCTACGCAATCACATCAGACAACTTTTCTTCTCATTTTTGTACATTTCGTTGAGACCAAAATTAATGGTGTGCAATGTACAACATGGACCGTGTTCCTTTCTGTAAGCTGCCCAGTCGTGAGGAGTGTCAAACAGCTTACGAAATCTCTTTTTATGCGGTCGAGGTCTTGGCCCGGGAATGGAACTATGAAACCACCATTTTTCAGGAAAACCACGAACATATTACATCCAATGATAACGGGCAAGCTGAATGTGCCTGTTTATTTTCCATCTGTCCATGGGTCTGTTCGTTTGTCTGTATGTCTGTCTTTCCATCCATCCATCTGTCTGTCCACTTGTCTGTCTGCCTTTCTGTCTGTCCATCTGTCTATGTTGCTCTTCTCAGTCTTGGATTCCTTCATCAATGGTGACCAAGCTAGGAGCATGAAGACAACCGCTGCTGGTATTGGCACTATTCTCATAGATCGTTTCGGCGCATTCCAATTCACAATCTTGATGGCTGGCTTCACAAAGGAGGTTCGTTCTGTCAAGGCGTTCACCCGCAACTCCACCACGAACCCGACTGTGTCCGCACAAGTTGCTGATTTCTTTGCTGATTTCGAAGGACCGGAGGTAGGTCCATGACAAAGCATCCATTCATTCGATCATTCACTTATTTATCTGTTCATATCTTGAGGTAAATCAATGACGAATCATGCATTTTCCGTTCATTCATTTAGTTTGAACTCGGATGGAAAGCCAAGGATTCAAAGCAAGAAAGAAGGACCAAAAACGATGAAATATTGTCCGCAGAGAACAGTTGTGAGAGTTGTATGTTCTAGCAAGACGTAAAAGACAGTAATTTGCTACTGTAAAACATGCAATTTTCGGTGTAACTTTAATTTCGGTGATTTCGGTAATGAAGCCAGCTGGACACCCAAATTCAAATTACACCTAAAAGGCACTAGAGTATGCACTGTATGTGAAGGGAATCCTAGTCACCCAATTCTAAATTACACCTGAAACCTGGCAGGTCCCTGACACCGAAATTTTAATGCACCTAAAATTACATGTTTTACAGTATTTCAAATGAGAGTCATCCGGCTGGGTAGAGTGCTCACCATTCATTCGAATAGAGCTATCTTAGTTGTAGATGATGAAACGATTAGTTGCAACTGATAATGTGTGGTGCTCTGTGTCGTGTGTAATCTTCTATTTCTGTATTCTTTACCAACTGACACAGCAAGCTCATGGCAAGTGGTGGCCAGACGTTGCATGGTTGCTGAATGCCCTGAACGATCGGTATGAAATCTCAGCCAGTACCGAGCTGCTTGGAACACCGGCAGATATCACCGGAGCCCTTTCTACCAGCGTTGGCGGGGGATTTGGATTCTGTGAGTGAAGAAATTGCGATATCTATGCATGACTTCTGATGCACTGACGTCATTAAGGCATCACTGGGCCGTCACTGGGACTCTGCATGCATGCAAGCCCACCTGTGCGAACTTGCCCTGTTGTTGGTATTGTGTCTTTCCAGTCCTTGAAGAGATTTTCTTGTTTTGTTGTTTTTAACCGTATGTCCGCCCGCACCTTTATAAAGCCATGGAGGTATATTCGATTACAATGCCAGGCTCAGTTGTAAAGCCATGGGCTTCATACCTGAAAATTAATGAAATTTGAAGTATGTTTTGTAAAATGAAGGAATAATAAGTACTTAACTAACAAGCTTGCAACCCAGCAGGAAGGGTGAACAAGTGGATAAGTTATAGATTGGAATTTCTGTGTGCATTTTGACGTTTATGGCATGGTGTAGTGGGTGAGTCATTTTGCATCTAAAATATCTAGGAAAGCAGCCGTGTTTCGAATATGAGGCCATGGCTTTAAAGGCGCTAATATGGAGCTATGAAGCCGAGACCTCTGGTCGGCGGAGCTTAATGGGCCCCACCACCGCACCCCATTATTCACCCCAGTGTCTGGAGATATGTGGATTTTGTAGGAATAAAAAACGGTCATAACATTCTTGTCTCAGTCTGTGCTGTAATAGAAAAATGCCCACGCAGACATCTACCCCCAACCTACTGTAGTGTTGTGTTGAGGGCTCTTCTCTTTGGCTGCTAGAGGCCACCACAGCCGAGTATATTCTGCTTGAGAATTTGGTGGAACTGCTAATGAATACTATCAGTACATGCAAGAGTACATAACCCCCCAGAGTGTGCAACGCCGATCCAGCTCTGCATAGGGTCTTGGTCGAGCCGAATCGGATCTTCTGATGTCATGCGTACACTCCACACCAGCGCAAGGCAGGTCTCGAGGCAGGGCACCATTGTTTTTGATCCCGCGACTCCCCGTGTAACAGATTCACTGTTACTACTAACACTAGGAATAGGATACACTCATCACCTGCTATTATCACGCTGCTGCTGTTAGGTGTAATGTCCATCATTGCTTGTTCATGTATATAAGAATGCATTATGGCAAGGATCATGGCTTATTCCAAGAATGACTACTGAAGTTAGTTGGACTGTTACACTGGTAGCAAGAGGATGGTTTTTCTTTTCGTCATGTTCGGGCTATGCGCAGTGGCCGCATTAGTCGCCTACGGTATATTCGAGATTCAGAAGCGTCTGAATCACCTTATCGCACTCGGTCAGTGCGATGGATCAGATTAAACGCCAAGACGTGCTCAAGCTCCCAGCGGAGAGAGGCCACGCATGCGCCATGTTAAGTCTCCGCCTGTGTTTCGTGGAGATACAAGAGAGTTCAAGGAGTGGGCCTTCGCCATCGAACTCGCCATGAAGTCACTGCAGCTGGACAACGCGGAGGAGCGCTTGAGCTACGCGGCGAGTTTTCTGGAGGGCAACGCTCGTCTTTGGTTTATCGCCTCTCAGGAGGCAAACACGCTGTTTTCCGACTGGCCAGACCTGAAGAGCAAGCTGGGAGAAGTGTACGGCCCGGTTTATGACAGGGAACAGGCGCGCATCGACTTATTCGCTCTTCACCAAGATGAGACTCTTGACGAATACATCAACAAATTTTCGCGGCTTAGCTTACAAGTTCCCGAGCTTGATGACCACTCCAGAGCTATCTTGTTCACGCGTGGGCTGGCTCAGGGCCTAAGCGGTGAGGTACTTAGGGAGCATCCGCAACATTTGGCCCAAGCCATACGAGCTGCGGTCTCAGCAGACCAGTCGATGCGGCTAGCCCAAGCAAGCTACGCCAAGGCAGTGCGCGCACCAGGGCATCAGAGGCGCCAGCCTGGACCCTGGTCAAGCCAACCAACACCATCCGGTGGGAGAGAAACCAGGGAGCCAGAGGGTCGTTCAAGGCTGTGTTTCACCTGCAGGAAACCCGGCCATATTGCCAGATCCTGTCCAGAAGGAGGGAGGAACGCCACAAGCAAGCCTTCTTTAAACGATGGACGCCAGTAAGGAAGGGAGTGCGACTACTGGCGAACACGAGAGCACCCAGGAATAGGCCACGAATCAAAGTTCAGAACAAATTCAGCCCCTTAGCAAATGAGGAACCACGCCTCGAGGAGACCGAAATTCAAGCCTCGCCTGTCAAGCATTCGTCACCTGATACTGTTGGCCGGCCTAATGAAGTAACCGCCAGCACAGGGAGCATTTCCGCCGACAACGAACACGACCTAATGCGCGTCCAGGGCAAGATAAATGGTCGTCGCGTTACCATGCTACTGGATTCTGGGTCAACCCACGACTTCATTTCAACTGACCTTGTCAAGAAGCACAACATCTCCACAACAACCGGTAGCGACGTCCTGAACGTCACACTTGCTGATGGATCGGTCCGCTCACAGCCTATTACGAAAACGGACAGCTTGAAGACCGTAGTCGGCGACTTTAGCGAGCACCAACAGTTCCTAGTATTCCCTATGACGCGGTATGACGTGATCCTCGGCAAACCATGGCTGACCCGGACGAACCCACAGATCAATTTTCGTACCAATGAAATCAAGCTGGAGGGTGGATCCATCATCTGTCAACCGAGTGAAAGTGATGGCACGGACAAATCCAACCCACCGATCGAGACGTTCCTCATCTCAGGGAAGCAGGCTAGGCATGCAATGAGAGGTGGCGCAGAAGGAATCCTAGCGTATGTGACAGCAGATCCGGACGAGCCACAGACGGTGGATAGTCCGGGTAGGGAGGATCAGAAGGATTTCAAGGACCTGCTGAAGGAGTTCGGAGACGTCTTTCCCGATGAGCTTCCAAACAAGCTGCCACCCAGAAGAGGCGCAGATCACGAGATAAAAACGGAAGAAGGAGCTAAACCGCCATCTCGTGCAGCATATCGTTTACCAAAACTAGAGATGGATGAGCTTCAAGCTCAGCTCACCGAGCTGCTCCGTAGAGGATTCATCCAGCCCAGCAAATCCCCATACGGAGCCCCTGTGTTCTTCGTAAAGAAAGCGGATGGAACACTTCGAATGGTATGCGACTGGCGTGAGCTAAACCGCATAACCATTAAGAACAAGGCATGCCTACCGAATATTGACGACCTCTTTGATACCGTCCAAGGCAGTGCGTATTTCACCAAGCTAGATCTGAGGTCCGGTTACAATCAGATTCGAATAGAAGAAACAGATATTCCGAAGACAGCAATAAACACCCCATTCGGTCACTTTCAGTTCACAGTGATGGGTTTCGGCCTAACAAATGCCCCGGCAACATTCCAAACCTTGATGAACAGTGTCCTCCAGCCATACCTGCGTAAATTCGTTGTGGTGTTTCTAGACGATATCCTCATATTAAGCAAATCATGGGAGGAGCACCTCGATCATGTCAGAACCATCTTAAACGCCCTCAGGAGGAATGAGCTATATTGCAAACCGTCTAAATGTGAATTCGGCCGGACAGACGTTCTGTTTCTTGGGCACCGGATAGACGGCCAATGCATTTCTCCAGATCCAGAGAAGACCAAGGCCGTGCATAACTGGCCTGTCCCGACGACGGTCACGCACGTAAGACAGTTTCTGGGATTCGCTAATTACTTTCGAAGGTTCATTAACCATTTCTCGGCCATCTCCAAACCCCTGGAGGAACTGACAGGGAAACATGTGCGCTTCGAGTGGAATCAGACTCGACAGGAGGCATTTGAGCGATTGAAGTCTGCTCTGCTGGATGCACCAGTGTTGCGACTAGCAAACGTCAGTCAGGATTTCCGCGTTGAGACTGACGCAAGTGACTTTGCTGTGGCAGGAGTCTTGACGCAGCAAGCAGAGGACCAGTCCTGGCATCCTGTGGCTTACGTGAGCCGAAAGCTGTCTTCTGCCGAACGGAATTACACGGCCGCCGAGCGAGAAACTTTGGCTGTAGTGTACGCCCTGCAGTGCTGGCAAGTCTACCTATTTCGCCACTTTCAACTCTACACCGACAACATGGGAGTTGTCTACCTCAGGACCAAACCAAACTTAACCAAGAGAGAGGCTCGATGGATTGAATTCCTGGCCGACTATAACTACACGGTACATCACAAGCCAGGGAAGTGTAACATAGCAGACCCGTTGTCACGTCGACCAGACTTGGAACTGAATGGAATCGAGTTCTCTCTGGATGTGAATCAAGGAATTGCGAATCAGATCTCAGCAGGGTATGATAGTGACCCAGAGCTTTCGCCAGTAATCAAGCGCTTGATGGCTTGCAGCGAAGACGCCATGCATGAGCGATACGTCTGGAACAGTGTGGACCGGCGGCTGTACCTAGTAACATCGGGCGATGCTCGCCTCTGCATTCCTCGCGGTCCGGTACGGCTGCAACTGCTCAAACAGAATCATGATTGCCTGATGGCCGGCCATCCGGGGAGAGACAGGACCTTCCTGAAGCTGAGCAGATACTTCTATTGGCCAGGCATGAGAAGTCCTGTGAAGGACTTCGTTAAATCTTGCGACCGGTGCCAACGCGTAAAGGGTAGCCAGACCAAGGCAGGACTGTTGCAGTCCCTTCCAGTCCCCGAACAGCCCTGGACAGACATCAGCATGGATTTCATCATGGCACTGCCGCTGACCTGCCGAGGACATAGCGCCATTCTAACCTTTGTGGACCGTCTGACGAAGTATGTGCACCTGATCCCGACGACTGTTCATGTTGACTCTAAGGAGGCAGCCCGATTGTACGTGGATCATGTGTTTGCTGCCCATGGCTTGAGCAAAACGATAGTTTGTGATCGAGATCCGCGATTCACGTCGGCGTTCTTCAAGGAGGTTTTCAGTATTCTTGGCGTGGAGCTAAAAATGAGCACGGCCAACCACCCGCAGACCGATGGCATGACTGAGCGTGTGAACCGTGTCATTGAGGATACGCTAAGAGCTTTCGTCAACCATAGGCAAAACAATTGGGATGAACTCCTATCGCTATGTGAGTTTGCGATCAACAATGCCGATCAAGCGTCAACAGGTAACACGCCATTTTTCCTCAACCATGGATGCCATCCAGTTACTCCCTCAAGCTTATTGACGAAGCAGAAATCTGGAGCTGGCATGGACACGAATGGTCCGCTGTCATGGCTGGATGGCCGCGTAGAGGCACTACGTGAGGCACAGGATGCCATCGTGGCGGCGCAGGCCTGGCAATCATTGTATGCGGATCGAGGACGGGTGGAGGACGCCCTGAAGGAGGGGGATGAGGTGTTGGTCTTCAGGGACTTCCTGCTGACGCCCGAGGAACGAGACAGGCCTTCACACAAATTAAGGCTCAAGTGGTATGGGCCGTTCAAGGTGCAGAAGAAAGTGGCCCCGAATGCGTACAGATTAGCTCTTCCAAGAATCATTCGGGCCCATCCAGTGTTCAATATTGCTGCCCTCAAGCTGTACCATGGCAATGAGATACCGGGCCGTACTCAGCCGGCACCTCCACCCCTAACCGATGCGGATGGCCATACGCGGTACATTGTCGAAAAGGTGTTGTGTCCATCATTGCTTGTTCATGTATAATAAGAATGCATTATGGCAAGGATCATGGCTTATTCTAAGAATGACTACTGAAGTTAGTTGGACTGTTACACCCCGGGTTCCCCTCAGATGTGTACGGTATTATGACGCAAAGATCCGATTCCGCTCGACCAAGACCCTATGCAGAGCTGGATCAGGCGTTGCACACTCTGGGGGGTTATGTACTCTTGGTACATGTGTATGTGAGTGGCAGGCTCTTTAGAGCATAATTATTATTGTATGCATGTTTTGAAAATTTGAAATACCCATGGCTACTGGTCGGTTAAGCATTCAAAAATGCAAACGTGTCTGTCGTCGAGTGCAGCTGTGTAAATCCACACAGTCACTTTTCTCGTATGTCACTCCCTGTAAAACGTGCAAGTACCTGTCGTGTGAATACCCCATAAGAGCATGCTGTGATCCAAAAGTATTATTTTTTACTTCGCAGTATATTTTTTTTACGACTGCTACATGTGCAGTAGTAGTAGTAGTTGTTTGAAATCTTTATTATCACGATAACCAGTGGCCAACATTGGTGTTGCTATGTATAGCAAGGAGCCTTTTCACTTTTCGCATAATGGCCAAAACGAATTCATTTTATATTAATATGCGATTTGCATTGAAATCCATATTATTATTATTTTAAATTTCAGTTTTTAATGATTTTTGTCAAGTTTAAAATGTGAAATCTTGCCTGCTGGCGCCCCTAGAATTTCTGATTGCACTGGTATGAAAATCACATTTTCTATCGTGTGCGTGTGTGCGTGCATGCGTGCGTGTGTGTGTGTGTATGTGTGTATGTGTGTGTGTGTGTGGGCGCATACTTGAGTGTGGGTGGGTTTGCATGTGTTTGTTCTTGCGACTACCTCCTCTGTTTGCCGTCCCGGCCTCCAGATCACTTTGATGGTCTTATGCTGCCAACAACACCAGCCGAATACATGGGCTTCTCATATGTCTACATGAGCTCAAACAACAGTATTACGCTATCCACTATCATTGTCGGTGACAATGGCAAGGCTCACACCGTCCGTGTGGTGGACAGCAGCTCAATTATCTATTTCAAGGTCAACAACACTGCAGTCAACTCCTCTATACTATCTGTAAGTTGTGCATGCCTGTGCCATTCACGATCTGTCGGACAGTTTGTCACCCATGATCCACAGGGGCTGGTGGCGTTCCTACGGATGCGGAAAACTAGGCCACCAGCCGAGTGTAACGCGAACCGTGGATTTTTTTGTCATTCATTTTGTGTTTCTGCCTACCTACATGCCTGCCTGCCTGCCTGCCTGCCCGCCCGCCTGCCCGCCTGCCCGCCTGCCTGCCTGCCTGCCTGCCTGACTGACTGCCTACCTGCCTGCCTGCTCGCATGAATGCATGTGTATATGTCTGCCTGTTTGTGTGTCTGTCTGTCAGAAGAATGCACAGAATGGTAGAGAGCACTGTTCCAATGCAGGAATAGATACGGGGCAGTCCGCTTGTGTGGCTTTTTGTCTGTTTGTGTGTCTATCTTTATTTCTGCCTATTTGCCTGTTTGCTCATCAATCATTCCAACTGTCTGCGCACTGCCCATCCAGTTATCCAACTGTCTATCCAGACAATTGTCCTTTTGTTTGAGGTGCCATGCTCTATACTCTAAGCTCTCTCTTTCTCTCTCTCTCTCCCTCTCTCTCTCTCTCTCTCTCTCTCTCTCTCTCTCTCTCTCTCTCTCTCTCTCTCTCTCTCTCTCTCTCTCTCTCTCTCTCTCTCTCTCTCTCTCTCTCTCTCTCTCTCTCTCTCTCTCTCTCTCTCTCTCTCTCTCTCTCTCTCTCTCTCTCTCTCTCTCTCTCTCTCTCTCTCTCTCTCTCTCTCTCTCTGTATGTCTGTCTCTCCTTATCACTCTCTCCCTCACTCTCCCTCCCCCCTCTCTCTCATAGGAAAGCATCACTGACTGGAACAGCACAGTGAAGAATATGCTGACCTCGGGACAGCTGTCTGTGCAAGCTCTGGATAACAGTGGTACTGTGTTGCTGCAGAGACCACTCAGGATCAGTGAGAGAGGTCAGTCCTTACCCCCAGTACAATGATACCAGTACATACACCTGGTACTCAAATCTGTGGACAGCAACTGTTTCGCTCTGTTAGAGCTCCTCAGCACAGCTCAGAAGACCGAAGCGCAGCTCTTCGCAATGAAATACATTTCCGTGAAGCAAAGCATTTTTATAAAGAGCTGCAAACCTCGCCAAGAAAGCTCGAAATGCTCCAAGAGCAGTGAGCGTTGCACACCTGGTACTCTGTGCTCTTGCTTTCACTGATAATAAGTTTAATGACAAGATCGCCTTTGCTACACCTACACCGTAGCTCAGTGGTTAGTTAGAGCACTGTTGGCCTCACGCAAAGGTCCCTGGTTTGAATCCTGGTGGTGGCAGTCATTTTTCTCTTCAGACTTTTCCCGTTTGTGTCTGTCCCTCAAATCAGCCTGATTTTCAAGATACGCTGTCAGCATATAAGCCTGGTTTTAGTGTTGACATAGAAATACCTGGTTTGAATAGAAGCCTGACGTGAATAGAAGCCTAGCCCTTACATCGGCTTCTACAGGAATAGGCCCGGCTTTAGTACGGGACATTACGGTATGTACATGTGTGTGTGTGTGTGTGTGTGTGTGTGTGTTTGTGTGTGTGTGTGTGTGTGTGTGTGTGTGTGTGTGTGTGTGTGTGTGTGTGTGTGTGTGTGTGTGTGTGTGTGTGCGTGTGTGTGTGTGTGTGTGCGATTTCCAATCGAGAGGTTGCGGGTTCAATTCCTGACGATTATGGTCGCACACGTCTTTCTTCTCTTTCTCGGTCTCTTCCTGACTTTTCTTTCATTCTCCTGGGTGGTTACCAACAGCCAGTGTATGCCGGAGTATGTGGTGTGGTGTGTGTGTGTAGAAAAAAAGAAAAAAGAAAAAAATGGAAAAATGAAAAATAGGGATTCACTGGCCAGAAAAAGTCACTTCAATCAGCTGTGTGGTGGATACCAGGCTAAAAATAGTGGCGGTCAATTCATCAGCCTTGCAAGCTGTTGAATGGTGTAATCCCAGCACAAGTTGCTATGTCTAACATAGCTGTTCGCTATCATCGCTTCCGCGATGGGCAGGTCTGAGGTGTGTGTGTGCGTGTGTGTGCGTGTGCGTGTGTGTGCGTGTGTGTGTATATGTGCAGTATTCTCTGCTACGCTCACGCCAGCAACACCGGGCACAGGCAGTGGCTATGCCCAGTTCACTCTCCATAGAGACGGCAGTCTTGTCTACAAGGTATGTGATGTGTTCTTGTGTGTGTTCTGTGTTGCATAATCGTGCTGTGTGATATGTGCTGTGTGATGTGTGTTCTGTGATGTGTGATGTGTGATGTGTGATATGTGATATGTGATGTATTGTATTGTATTGTATTTTATTATTTTACTTGGGCATTCCCAACAGACCCTGAGGTCTTCTTACAGGGTGCCCAAGATTAATGAAATTGTTTTAAAAGCTCCTGGCGAAATGATTTGGGGATATGATTTGCGCGAAGGGATTCGGGAAGCGTGATGTGTGATGTGTGATGTGTGATGTATGCTGCGTACATGCTGGTATGATTGGGTTCGCGCATGTGGATGTTTGCCTGCCTATCCATCTGTGCATCTGTCTGTCTGTCTGCCTATCCATCTGTGTATGCCTGTCTGTCTGGCTATCCATCTGTAAGTCTGTCTGCCTATCCATCTGTAAGTCTGTCTGCCTATCCATCTGTAAGGCTGTCTGTCTGTCCGCCTGTCCATTCGTATGTACCGTATTTTCCGGGGTATAAGCCGCACTTTTTTTCACTAAAAATCGGATCAAAATTGCCCCTGCGGCTTATACACCGAATATGCTTGCGCGAATGAATGCTTAGCATACATCAGTATGCATGCTGAAGTCATGTGACATGTCATTCGACTCAGCTTCACGCCTGTGTTGCTATCCCGGCACTTTTACTAGTTTTTACTAGCATGCCTTGCCGATGGGACAAAGTTAATTACGGCCATTTGTCATTTTCAAGCGAAGGACTATGCCAAAGGATGCAGTGCCGCCTGATGTCATTGTCCACGTTCACCCCAAAGGCTGGATGGATGAAGCTGGAATGCATATGTTGCTGGATAAGGTTTGGTGTGCAAGGCAAGGTGGCCGTGGGAGCACCCCTGTTCGAAGCTGCCTTGTCTTGGACTCGTTTCGTGCACATCTAGTAGAGAACTTCAAAAGATGTGCGCGTGAAACAAGGACTGACCTTGCTGTTATCCCTGGTGGTCTGACATCCCAGCTTCAGCCACTTGATATGTGCCTCAACAAGCCATTCAAGTGCCACATCAGGCAGCACTGGACGGACTGGATCATTGGTGGAAACCATGAGTTTACACCATGAAGAAACCTTCAATTTCCAAAGTATGCAAATGGGTGGATGAGTCATGGAAGGCCATTCCAACTACAATGGTCGCCAAATCATTCAAAAAGTGCTCAATTTCAAATGCACTGGACGGCACTGAAGATGACATGATCTATGAGGACCACAATGATTCAGACTCCGGCAGCGATGAAGACGGCGACGGCATCGCTGCAGAGGTAGCTTTGATCAACATCAGTGGCAGCGAGACTGAAGATAGTGCAGATGACATGGAGTGATCAGTAGTC